ATAAGTAATAATAACGATTTATCGATTGAAAATGATTTAATGGATAAGTTAAATTATTCAAATTTAATTAATTAAAATAATATTTTATTAGAGTTTTTAACTTTTATTTTGTTACTTGTGCTTGAATTATTTTGATTCTTTTTTTATTGTAATTTTGTTATATACTTAAGTAAATTTAATAAGTCTCAAAATATTACATATCATTATAGAGATTTTTTTTTAAGGTCCTTACTAATAGCAATTTAGCTGATAAAGGACACTAAAAAAAAGTATGATGCCTCAGGTTCTTGAAAGAACATTGCCCGCTTTGTATTCAGATGTTGTACCAAAATAGTCTCCACAATCAACATATAAAAGTAGACAATGCTAAGATTGGAAATTTAAGAACTTACAAATTCAATAACTTTTGATTTAGATGTTCATTTTCAACAAAAATTATATTTTTAGAATGCTATCGTCAAGATCTATCAAACAAAATCAATGATAAATATGAAATTTCGAGAATAAAAATTGACAAAATTTCACTAAATTGACTATCTTCAGTTTGTGAAATTTCTCTCACTTAATCAAAGAAATTTCATTGATCCATGAGAGAGAAAGAAAGACATACTGAGCGATGGAGAGAGATGGTAGAAATAAAGAAAAAGATGAGATACACATCAGTGAAATTTCACTAACTTAGGTCTAGTGAAATTTGAGACAAAATTCTTTTTGAAGAAAAATTCGGAATAATTTCAAAAATACACAAAGAAAATTCAAAAAAATTATCCAAAGAAATTTAAAAAAACACACAATTTCTCTGGTATAGGTCCAGTGAAATTTCTATGGTATAAGTCTAGTGAAATTTCTCTGGTATAGGTCTAATGATATTTCAAAACAAAAATCTCTTCACAAAGTAATTTCTCTGGTATATGTCCAGTGAAGTTTTAGACAGATTTCTCCGTGAAGAAAAATTCAGATTAATTTTACCTGGTAACCAAGCTTCCACCAACCCTTGCTCTCCTCAAGCTTCCATGGTAACCATGTCTTTCTTTCTCCTCTAACTCCCAAAACTACCAAATGCTCAAAGCTTCTAATTCCACAATCAGTCCTCAACAGAAGACCCACTAGTACTAATCTCAAGAATCTACCATCACAGACCACTTTGACTGCTTTACTCTTCTCTTCAATAACCCCACAACAAACCTTAGCCCTAGACAACACTACTAACCCATCCAATCCTCCACCCATAATTCAAGCCAAAGCCCCTAAAACCCATCCAATTCAAGTCGAAAAGGTCCGATTTAGCAAAGATGGAACTGCCCTCTAACTTACCGTCGTTGACGGGCGTTGCGCCATCGTTCCTATCCCCAGTGACCCCGACCTCATCGACATTCTTGCCACCAACGACATTGATAAATTGGGGAGATATGGTGGTTGAGTTTTAGGGTTTGGAAAGTGAAATGCCCCCAAATAATTGATATAATGATATGTCTAATTAATTCATTCAAACACTAATCTCAAATCAAATGATCAAATCTCTATATTTATATTCCATTCATGTGAGGGATTTACAAAAGGAGTCCACATGTAATACATATTCAAACTTCTTAAAAGGTGAATGCATAGCATGTGTGACGATGGAAACAAAATAAATAACGCAAAATAAATGCCCTAAAGGCTACAAGTTCCAAAGAGAAGAAAAAGAAAAAAAAAATTCAAATATCAACATTTCCTGCACATGCTGTACCTTTTCTTCACGTGTGGAGCGCACTCTTCCGCACGTGCGACACACACCCCCGTATGTGCGGTTATTTCAGGGACCAACCTCACAAAAACCTCACCTCTCTATAAGTGTGGCACCTATTCCCACACGTATGGTACCTCCCCCGCACGTGTGGTTATTTCACTCCCCAACTACAACAAACTTCTTTTCTCCACACGTGCGACTCACTCTTCCGCACATGCGGCTCCAACCCTGCATGTGCGTTTTTCCTACAGCCCATATTTTGCAAGCTCAACAAGCCTATGACCACCCTGACTCCAACTATACTTCCGAAACAAGAAAAACTCAACTGTGGAACAAAGTTGGATATGTAAATCCAAAAAAGGTTTCAAGAACGATGGACCTAAAAGGCCGATGAGGCCTCAGATTAGTTCTCAACATCCCCAACATGAGTAAAATAAACACAATTAAAGGAGAACAAGATGAGTTATATACCTGGACATCAAAGAAATGGATGAGAGAGAGAAGAAAAAAGACCCAAATATGTATGGATAGAGAGAGAGAGAGAGAGAGAGAGAGAGAGAGAAGAGAGAGCCAAATATGTAGAGAGAGAAAATGGAAGAGAGAAGAATGAGGGTAAAGTTGGTATTTTTTTTGAATAAAATAGAAGTAAAGGATATAAGGGACCTTATCTAACATAATTTTTTTTTTTTTTGTAGATCTCTCCTATTACCTAAAGTTGAAGAAGAATGTTAGATTAATTTTTCCATCATTTTATAACATTATGAGTAATGTGTGTCTAAATTTTTTCTTTAGCTCTAGGTGCCAAGAGCGGGCTCTAACTTTTTGAAGGTGTCTATAGCACTAGTATTGCAAAAAAGGAGTGACCTTGAGGGTTTTACTAAGTAGTTAGTGGGTATACTCATCACATGATTGTTCATAATTCAATTCTTAGGGTCAGGTCATGGGGAATTTCTCATTAGACTAGATCGGAAAATAATTAATTGAGATACGCGTAAATTGATTTGAATATCCTTTGCAATTACAAAAAAAGAAAAAAGAAAAAAAGAAGAGTAACATTGTAGGTCAAGTCTTGTCATCGGCATTCTTGTGGTTGACTATTTTTGAAATGAGTAATAATTGAGAGCTCAAGAGTGAGGGCTCTAAACCTAATTCTAGCTTTAGTGACGTGGAAAATAAAAAATAAAATAATTAAAAAAAAATAAAATCAAAACATCACATTACAGTGAGCTTCACCCCATTAAAACACCCTAAAGCTCCTTCATCGGAACTCTCAATCATTTTTATTTCGAAAAAGGCCCCACCATACCATGTGACCACCAAAGTGTTCAAAGCAAATTGACACAATCACCATAGGCCCAACTATTGAACTACCTTCAAACGTGACCTCAAAGCCGACATAAGGACATATTTATATTTGTTTATAGTATATTTTCAAATTCAGAAATGTGGACAAACATGTGTATATTTGCATTTTTAAATTAAAAAATAATTTAAGTTGTAGATCATTATGAAAAGAAAAATAGATCCTATATTTATATTTGTGCATTTTCAAATTAAAAATAAGAATATATATGCATAGTTGAAATTAAAAATTGAAACCAATATGCATATGTATGCACTTTCAAATTAAAAAATTGAGATAGATATTTGTAATTATACACTTTTAAATTAAATATATATATATATATATATATATATCTTTGCAATATTTCTAGATTTTGTACTTTCCAATTAAAGAATTTTCACTTAAAACAATCTTTGACTACCAATTTTTAAAATAATTTTTAATTTCTAAGTTATCTTCTAATCTAATCAAGTGGGGCAGCTGTTGCAATCAACCCGCTATGCAATATGTTTTACAATTATTTATTTATTTTCTGTGTCCTCATCTAACCCTTACTTTTCACACTCCATTTTCTTAAAAAAAGTTATGTTTATGTCTCAGAAATACATGTCTTTGTTCATGATAGAATAGCAGAGAGAGAGGAAATAATATGTATTGTATTGAATTAAATGAATGAATACAATATGAGAAGTCTGTATATATAGGCTGAAAAGAAACCTAGATAAGTATAAAAGAAGATAGATATATAAGAAGATAGAGATAGCAATACAAGATAGAGATAGAGATACAAATAGGTAAGCATAATATAATATACATTAACAGCCCCTCTCAAACTAATAACATGCTGTCGTATGAAATGACAATCAATCTCAATATGCTTTGTGCGATCATGAAAGACATCATTATGGGCAATCTGAACAGCACTCTGATTAACACAATAAAGGTTAATCGCAGTAGAATGAGAAACCCCCATATCAGAAAAAAGCCAACGAAGCCACACAAGTTCCTGAGAAGTGTCAGCAAGAGCACGATACTCAACCTCAGTACTAGAACGAGCAACAAGAGTTTGCTTCTTGCTACACCAAGCTATGAGAGAGTCACCCAAGAGGAAGCAGAATCCTATAGTCGAACGGCGATCAGTAGGATCCCCTGCTCAATATGCATCAGAAAATTCGTGTAACTATAAAGATGAGTGTGTTGAGTAGTGAAGACCATGAAACATAGTTCCTTTGAGATAGCGCAAAATGTGAATTAAAGCATCATAGTGCGAGGAGCGAAGTGCAACGATGAACTGACTGAGAATGTGAACAACAAAGGCAATGTCTGGACGAGTATCTATAAGATAAACAAGACTGCCAAATAGCTAATGATATAAGGTAGCATCAGACAAAAGGTGACCGCCAAGAGGTGTGAGATGAGTCTGAGGATCAAATGGGGTAGAAGAAGTCTTACAATCAGTGAGACCCTCACGAGCCAAGAGATTAGAGGTATACTTGGCCTGGGTGAGAAAGTAATCAGAAGGATCATGAGAAATTTCCAAGCCGAGAAAGTATCTAAGCAAACTTAAATATTTCATCTCAAACTGGCAACTGAGGAACTGTTTGAGACTAAAGATACCCACTATGTCATCCCCGGTGATGATCATATCATCAACATAGAGAAGAAGAAGAATAACACCATGCTTTGTCTTTCGTATAAACAGAGTAGAATCATAGGCATTAGCATTGGAAGAGAATCCAAAGTCACTAATGGTAGAACCGAACTTGGCAAACCAGGCACGAGGAGTTTGTTTCAAGCCATACAAAGCACGATGAAGTTTACAGACCTTGGTGGACGGAACTGAGGAACTAGGAGGAGGCTGCATATAAACTTCCTCAGTGAGATCGCCATTGAGAAGGCGTTCTTGACATCCATTTGACAAAGACTCTAATGACGAGTAGCAACAACGGCAAGTAGGCTGCGAACTGATGTAAGACGAGCAACAGAAGCAAATGTTTCCTCGTAATCAATCTCATATTCTTGAGTAAACCCCCAAGCAACAAGATGAGCTTTGTAACATTCAATAGAACCTTCAGAGTGGGTTTTGAGCTTGTAAACCCATTTGCAACTCATAACACTCTTGCCAGGTGGAAGGTCAACTACATCCCAGGTATGAGTTTTATCTAAAGCCTGCAGTTCATCACTTATAGCTTGCTGCCAAAGAGGGTTAGACCATGCCTCTTGATAGGAAATAGGTTCATGAGAAGAAAAAGCAGTGGAATCAACAATGAAATCACGAAGGAGTACAGAAGGTTGTGTTACTCGAGTAAAATGACGAAGAGGTACCTCTAGTATAGAAGATGATGTAATGGAATCAAGGGATATATGAGGCTCACTGGGAGAGCGAATGATAACATGACTAGGAGGTGGAACAGGAGCAGGTGTAGAAGCTGGCTCAGGATCAGGGAGTGGAGCAGCAAGACCAGGAGGCGGAGCAAAATCTTCAGGATGGCCCAGAGTCATAGTGTCTATATCAAGCTCATCAAATAGAAGAGAGGGATCTATAAAGAATTATGCAGTGAAAGGAGTGGACAAATGAAACTTAGATGTAGAGGAGAACATTTTGTGTTCCAAAAAGACTACATGACAAGAGACACGAAGATGACAAGAAAGAGGATCCCAACAACGGCAACCTTTATGTTCAATCCCATACCCCAAGAAGCAACATAAATGGGCGCGAGGTTCTAATTTGGTATGCTCATGTAGTTGAAGAAGAACAAAACAAGCATTTCCAAACACACGAAGACCAGTATAGATAGGAGGTGTGCCATATAGATGCTCATATAGGGTTTGATTATTGATGGTAAGGGAAGGAACATGATTGATAGTGCAGACTGCTGTGAGACTAGCTTCTCCCCAAAAACGTTCAAGCCAAAAAGAAGAGATTAAAACTGCACGAACAGTGTCTAGGATACGGCGATGTTTGCGTTCAGTATGACCATTTTGTTAGGAGGTACTAGGACAACAATAATGAGAAAGTGTACCATTTTGACGAAGGAATTTAAAAAAATGAGTTTCTTTGTATTCTTGAGCATTATCAGCATGAAAATTTTTGATGGTGGAGGAAAATTGAGTTTTGACCATGTGAGAAAAATCTTAGTATATTTGGTGTAACTCAGAGCGAGATTTCATAAGAAATAACCAGGTAAAACGAGTGAAATCATCGACAAATATAACAAAGTATTTAGATCCCCCCATAGTGGTATTAGGTGAAGGCCCCCAAATATCAAAGTGTATGAGATCAAAAGGTGCATGAGACATAGAGATACTGGTAGTAAATGGCAAGGCAGGTTGTTTTGCAAGTTGACAAGATAGATAGTCTACTTTATCATTTGGAAAATCACCTAATTGACCACTTGAAACTAGAGAGCGTAAACGACCAAATGACACATGACCTAACTGAGAATGCCATAAAGTAAGAGGGGAACTAATAGTAGTAAAAGCAGCAAACTCAACATTGGAAGGACTGGATGAGAGAATGTGACGGTGGATGAGCTCGTATAGACGTCCATGTCTATGACCTATCCCAAGGGTTTGTCCCGTCATCGGATCTTGCACAACATAACCAGGTGGAGAAAATAGAACAGTGAGGCCAAGATCACAAAGTTGACTAATAGAGAAAAGATTAAGTGTAAGATTAGGGATCAGATAAGTGTGAGGGAGAGAGACATTAGAGGTAGAAATATAACCTACATGGCGAACATGCATTTGAGAACCATCAGCAGTATGTGTGCTAGGTAAATTAGAAGGACATGTAGTGGAAGAAAATAGTGTAGGGTCGGAGGTCATATGGTTGTAACAAGCCGAATCAAAATACCACGAAGAGGTATCTAGGGTGACTGAGATAGCAGTAGAAGGTGCACCAGAAGTGGAAAGAACCTTTTGTATAATAGCTTCAATATTATGAACAATGTGAGTGGAAGAGGAGGCAAGTGCAACAGCAGCAGAGGCAAACTGAATTGAAGAGTCATGTCGACTAACAACGGATCCAGAAGAGCCACCGTAGAGAGGAGAACTATCTGAATGATCCATGAAGTGATCAAAGTATGAGTCACAATGAGGGCGCAATAGTGTCATAGTAGAACTGGGTGAAACAAAGTGTCCCAGTGAATCTGGAACATTGAAAATTGCTAGAGAGCAGCTACTTGGCCCCAAAATAGCCAAAAAAAAATGGACCTTGTAGACGTCCCCGAACGCCCCGGGAGGACGAGTCCCCGTCCCCCGTTCTGTTAATATTGGGTTCACTACAGTTCAGGACTCTCAGATAGTCACGGTCCTTAATCTGAACCAAAGAGTCCAAATCCGGCAAATCGTTTTGAGAAAACAGATTTTGAAAGAAGTGCCAAACATGGACTGCTTTGCCAGATACAGAGTCGCCACCTAAATGTTTTATTTTTAGGAAATTTAGGAAACCCTGACTCGTTTGCCTAAGGCCACGTGTTTTGAAAACGTTATGTGTTCTTATTCCGGTTATTAGCCTAGAATTACTATGTTATGGCGCACAGCAAACAAGTATAGACCAAATCGCCTAAATTGGAACGAAGCATTGCATATCCGTTTGTTTGCAAAACAGTTTGAAATTTGCTACTCGCAAGTAGGCTAAAATACGGATTTCAACGAGTTATCCTAACTCAAACAATCCAACCTCCACCCACAGGCATTCAAGCAGTTCATCAAATAAGCATCTAGCCTCATGGTAATCATGCTATTATGTTAACGTTCACACTCATGTGAGATGCTAAAGCATAAAGAGCTCACCTAGTACTCCGTGCCAAAACAAGAACATGTTAGCAATCATGCATGATCCAAGTCCATGTTTAAATGCCTAATGCAACGCATACGGAATGTCACTAGAGTAGGCTCGGCTAGTCTATAAATGACATGTGAAAATGCACAAGTAGCGTGTATTCAAGTTAGATTTGAAATACGTATGCAGTTAGTATGATGCACCGAGCCTGGTGCATGCAAGACTAATGAATGATGCACGCATGCATAGCATAAGGTATGCTAAAAATAAACATGTCCTAATACTAACCATCAAAGCAGGTAAGTAAAAGGGAGAAAGAAGTGGGGGTTGGAAGACATGCACACACGCACCCACACTTATTACAAATTCACCCTCGCTCGGAGGGACCAAAAGAATAATACAAATTAATTAACCTACAAGCTAATTAATTATTACAGACCACCTAATTAATTAAGCAAATTAAACTAGGCTAAGAAAGTAGTAAAGGCCTTGGGAAGAGGATCCAATGCGCGCGTGCTCGGGTTTGTTCGGAAATCCAACGCCATGCACAAGTTTGCCTCTGCTTTGGCTGTTTTGCTTCTCTGAAAATTGCACAACTCCCAAGGTTGCTTCTCTGAGTGTTGTGGAACACCACCGGCTGAGTGGGATCATCACCGGCCATTTTGAAGTGGTCATCGACCATCCATTGATCTCTCGGCCAAATATATTTGGTCGGTCGGCAGTATATATGGCCGGTCGGCCAAAACTTCCTGCAGAGACCTGTTTGACAGCAGTAGAAGGCAAACAAGGCATGGCAATGTATTTCAAGCAAATGTATGCACCAACATATCCCCTATCATGCTTATCACTCAAAGGGACAGGGTTCTCGATTCTCAAACCATCAATTGCGCATTTCAATGCATGATGGCCCAAGAAACCAAGTATGCACTTCGATTTTAAGTGAAATGCAATGCAAATAAGCAAACAAAGGGGCTTTCAACCTCTACCATGGCTAGATCAAGAGGTGAAAGATGCATGCAAATGCAATGCAACCTAAGTATGTTAACTAGGCATGCAACATGAGCATATGGGAAGCATGCAAGGCATATAACAAACATGCAAGTTAAATGAGCATACAAGGCACAATGTCAACACACAAGCATGCAAAACATATGGCATGTTAAGCAACCAAAACAAGGAGGAGAATACGTGCCAAATGCAACATCATTTCAACATGTAACAACATGTCATAAGCTAAGCATGCAACAACATGCCAAAGGGTGGACTTAAACTAAATTAGGTAGCCCTTAAACAAGCCTAAAACAGTGGCCAATGCTATGGAAATGATAGCCAATACACACACACACATGCAAGCAAATGGCCTAACACTTGAACATAAAATAAGCAACCTTTAAGCACACTTAAAGGAAGACAAACATGGGCATATGGCATGTATCATAAGCTCTGAAATTGCATGAAAGAGAAGTGCCAAACCAAGTAATCAAAACAAGCAAAGCATGCAACAATGGTCCAAGTACTTAAGGCAAGCTAAGGAGGTATTGAACTACCCTTAGCAAAACCAAACATGGCATGAATTAAATGATCAAAACAGAGTTTTAACATATTAAAACAAAGCCTAAAGACCACTTAGATGGCATCTAAATGACTTAAATTCAAGGGCATGCACAATGACCAAACATGGAGCACAAGGCACAACCTCATAAGGCATCAAAGAGGCATCAAAGAGGCATCAAAGGCAAGTATACAAGCATGTTATAAGGACTGAAATAACATGGTAAGTGGTTCCAAACCACTGAAATAATGCAAGTAATGCATGCTAGAGAGGCCGAAGCTTAAGGCATTCAAGAGGGATTGCATGGTAGCTATACAAAGCAAGACATGAATGACTCAAATGACCTAAAACAGTCCCTTAGCACATCAAAATATTCATGTAAGCTTCACAAAGCTAAGCCTAAATCATGCTAGAACAAGGGTCTACACCTAAAGCATGTTAAGGAAAAAATGTGGCATTACAAGACATGTATGCAAGGCATGCAAGGTGTGTCCAAACCAACTGAAAATAGAGCTATATTATGACATAATAAGCACAAAAATCAGTTAAAGCATGGCCGACATACACTTAAACAAGATGCTCCCTCAAGAGGCAAAAATGGCCCTTTTCAAGGACAACAAGGAGAGGGGGTGGCCCTCTCCTTCTTAGGAGCTCAAGGCACCATCCTCATCACTGAAATCCCTCAAGATTTCAGTGGTGAGGAGGCCCAAACACAATGGTCCCGGAGCTCAACTGAAATGGCACAAAACAAAGGCCAAACAAGCCTTAAGAGGGGTCAAACAACCCCAAAGCTTAAAACACCCTCAAGAAACTATTTAGGGCAGATAAAAACAAGACGTTTCTATGTTATATGTTAAGCTCGAAAACAGTTGCAAATATGGAAAAACAAGCTATGAAAACATGGCTTAAAAGAGGTAAAAGCTCACCCTTGAAGCACAACAGCAAATCAGCAACTTTTGAATAAAAAAAAAGCTTCAAATCACCCCAAAAATCACCTCCAAGGACCTTAGCTCAATAAAGGAAGTAGAGAACTAGGTGTTTGTATGCAAAAGTGCAAAGAAATTGCACTTTTGAGCACAAACAAGCCCTAAACCTTAGAGAGAGAGGCAGAAAATATATATATATAGAGAGAGAGATTGTTTTGGCTCAAAGTTGTATCTCTCTTCCTTGTTGTTAGAGAGCTTGATTGATATATAAATATATCAATCTGCAGCTCCTCAGAACACCCACGTCCAGGTATGGGCTGGGGTATGGCCTAGAATGACAGCTGCCAGTTGTCTACAGAGATATCTGTTGAAAACCACACTTGGCCGGCCGGCCATCAAAGTGGTCGACCGGCAGTCAAATTGGTCGGCCGGCCATCACATTTGGCCGATTGAAAATCAAGGTGGCCGGTGGGCAGGAGACTTGGTCGACAAGCCATCCTCTTCCCTCAGGAACACATCCACAAGCTCTTGGTCCGCAACCAAGCACAAAACAGAGAAGTTAAGAGATTCTAAGGCAAGGCGCACAGCCAAGACTTTTCGAAACTCAAAACAAACACAAGCATGGATAATCATCGCGTGTTCAAACGATGACGTCCAAGCCTTGAGGATGGTCAAAAATGGGGTGTCTACAGTTGCCCCTCTTTGACAGAACTCGAAAGTCATAACAATGACGGGAGTAAATGTCAAAGCCCAGACACGACCCGTTTTTGACAAGGCCGAAGACTTAGACAAACATGCAAGACAAGCAAAGATATGCGCCCGAAGGCAGGGGCAAAATGCAACTGACAATGCAAGGAGCCGAACATAACTTATGATCATGCAAAGAAAGCTGTAACGAAGCATAACATGCAACAGCTTTAAGCTAGCATACACCAAACTACACTACAATGCAGAAAAGATGTAAGAGAATTATGCAATTCTCGATATGTCTCACTCGGAGAATACAATACCTGCACGGTTTGTCTGGTTGCACCAGCTTCAAATGAACCGTACATACAATATCGTGCCTGAAAGAAAACTTAACAGGTACAGATATCGTTAGCAATATGCGCAATATGCAAAATGAATGCAAAATGATATGCGATATATACAAAACTATGTATAATAATGCAAATGAAAATGCAATGCAATTGAATCATGATCAAATCATGAGCGATTCAAAACCACACAAATGTCAAATAGATTGATGGAGATGCAAAGTCCGTCTACCATAGAAAAGGTGCCGCAACCTTCAAACCAACATACCAACGTGGAATAGGCGCGTACACATGCAGAACTATGAGTGATGTAGACGGACACGAGAACAAGTAATTGGGTGGAATGACATAGGTGGGGAAATGACATGCTGAAGAAAGACCAATGATCCTAATGCTGGATGCAAAAAAAAATTACACTACAATGTAATATATATACAATGGATATGGCAAGCAGCCAAACCAAATCTTGCCTAGGAAAGGCATGGACACACAAAAACCACGTCTAACATAGAACGGTCATACAGAACTATAAGTGTATAGACATGAAAAGTATGGGCACATACCAGATCAAGTTCAACATGGAAAGGCGCAAGCCATAGATGGGGGGGGGGGATGCAGTCGATGCGTGCAAGCTACAATGCACTATTTACAAATATGCAATGGAATGGATACATTGGATTAAGGCCTACGGCCAAGCCGTGTCTTGCCTAGGAAAGGCATGGACACGAACAAATCACGTCTAACATAGAACGGTCATACAGAACTATGAGTGTATAGACGTGAAAAGTATGAGCACATACCAAACCAAGCTCAAC